CTGGCTGATCCCGGACATCGGGGAGGTGCGGACTGAGCTCACAACGCAGGCAGGTGCTCCCCACCATCACCGAGTTCTTAGATTCCCTCCTCACCACCCCAGGTCCTCTGGACCCACTGACGGGAACGAGACAGATAAGCTATTCCATGGGGTTTCCAGAGTCAAGACACAAGGGAGAGGGCCAGCAGGTGGCAGAGTGATGAGGGCACTGGACCAGCACAGGGCTGACCGTGGTTCGAGTTCCTGGACCTGGTGGCTCGGAATGCATGCTGGGTACAAAGTCCCAGGAGGGGAATGGAGGAGAAGGGATTATGGTGTGGGCATCCTCCCTGTGTGTGTGCATGTGTGCGTGTGTGTGTGTGTGTGTGTGTGGGGGGGTGACCTCACTTTCTGTGTCTCTGACAAGCATATGTGCCCTATAGCAAAATTCTATCTCAAAAGAAAAAATAAAGAAGGAAAGAAAAGAAACTGAAAAAAGAAAGAAGGAAGGAGAGACTAGGAGGCCAAATGACCATTCACTGGAGGGGCAAAGGAATGCAGATAGCACTGCAGCGGAACAAAGATAAGCTATTCCATGGGGTTTCCAGAGTCAAGACACAAGGGAGAGGGCCAGCAGGTGGCAGAGTGATGAGGGCACTGGACCAGCACAGGGCTGACCGTGGTTCGAGTTCCTGGACCTGGTGGCTCGGAATGCATGCTGGGTACAAAGTCCCAGGAGGGGAATGGAGGAGAAGGGATTATGGTGTGGGCATCCTCCCTGTGTGTGTGCATGTGTGCGTGTGTGTGTGTGTGTGTGTGGGGGGGTGATTCCTCACTTTCTGTGTCTCTGACAAGCATATGTGCCCTATAGCAAAATTCTATCTCAAAAGAAAAAATAAAGAAGGAAAGAAAAGAAACTGAAAAAAGAAAGAAGGAAGGAGAGACTAGGAGGCCAAATGACCATTCACTGGAGGGGCAAAGGAATGCAGATAGCACTGCAGCGGAACAAGCCACTCCACCTCTGTGAGCCTGGGTAAAATAAGCCCCCAGCTGTTTCGATGTTACTCGTGAGAGGTGCACAGATAGCACGCCTACCCTGGAAGGATCTACTACCTGTCTAATTAACAGCAGCAGTTAAGCTAGAAAAAGCGCCACTTACCATGGATTGGGCTACGCCAGGAGGGGGTGGGCCACAACCAGGATTCAGGTGAAGGACCGCTCCCCGCCTCTGAGGTTTCTTAGAAGCCTTTCTGTGCCCCTCGGGAGCTGGATGAGACGCACTGTGGGACCCCAGCTCTCGGAGGGAGGGGGCCCAAGATGAAGGAAGATCATGGGCTCCCGAGGCAGACAGCTGCGTCTTGGCACAGGGGCTCACGTGTGCCACCAAAGCCACCCGTTGGCTCCCACTTGGCCCCTGGAGCCTATTTTTATTCCACTCCCTCTCCCCGATCTATTTTATTAATCTCCTGATATTCGCTGTTTTGATTTTGCCGTCGGCTTGCTAATCAGCCCGCCTGTTTGACTCACAGGGTTTGCGTTGTCGCTGGGACTTAAACACACACTTGTTTTGATTTCTTTTTGTAAAATTAGAAGCGTTGGATGTATGACTACCTAGACACAGCTGGGGAAGCGAGAAGAATGCTCGAGTTTGCACAGTTTAAACACAATGCAGACAATAATTAGAAATGCTATCTTTAGATGTTTAGGGTAAGCTTTTTCTCAGAATTGCAGTGATTTTTTTTTTTCTGAGCAGGACGTTGTAGGGCATATATACAGAAATACTAAAAACGTAAGGAAATAGCGCAAATCAGCAAGCGCTTTGGTCCACTTGAAAGACTGCAGGAAATAAACCGACTGATTTTAGATCCGCCTTTTTTTGACTGAATGCATAACATCTTTAAAGCCTCCCTATTTTTCACAACTACCAAATGATCGAATAATTTTAGGTGACAGATTGCAACTGGTAAGTTTCTATGGTATGTTTGAAACACAGTCTACGCATGGCCTGCAGGGAGGGTGCTGAGGGATAATGACGCAAATAATAAAGAGAATTAATCATCTATTTAGGGAAAATTACCACCTTTTATTTCAAGTAACAAAAAAAACCAGTTATGATACATGGTGATCACAAATTCAGTAAAGTAAGTGAAAATGAATAGAAGTTACTTCTTTAAATAATATGACGGAATAGCAGCTGGTTTAAAAAAATGGTTGATTTTTATACTTTTCCCTTATATAAAGTGTTTATAATCGTTAAACCTTTGAACTGACATTGTCAATGAAAGTAAGTCAATCAACAGAAGTGTGAATGTTCATCCCACCAATTCCAGATTCTCAAATAAATTTATAAGACTTTAAAAACAAACGGTTGACAGGTTAATAGGTTATCACTGGCCTTGGCTAAGAAACCAAAATACATTCCTGAGCGCACAGAGATCCCAGAAAGTCATGCCTTTCAGTAGTAGCCAAACTTTCCCTATAAATCCTCCCCCACCCCAACCCCGAGCGTCTCATTTAGCGAAAAAAAGAAGATGCCATTTAAGGCAGCATATCCATATCTATCATTTTAAATTGCCTCCACGCTGTATCAACTTTCTGTTTCTGTGAGCGACCCTCATATCCAGAGCTGGGGCCTTTTTCTTTTTCTTTTTTTTTTTCTGCTTCTCATTTCTAATTAGATTCACGACTGAGCTCACCATTGCAGCTCTTTGATCTTCACATTTTTCTCTGTTCAGAAAGACATGGGTGGGGGGGGGAGAAGAAAGGAATATATTGAAGTAGTGAGCTGGGTATTTTTGTCTCCCTCACTGGAGCTGATGGAAAGTACTCTCCATGTTACTAAAGACGACTGTTCCAAACGAAGGCTTCAAGAATGAAAGTGGAGGAGAAGGTACTCAAATAGAGACCTTTTCTTGGAGAGAAACAGGGAGCCAAGGCTTCTGCAGGCTCCAGAAAAGCAGTGAGGCCAGGAGAAGGCCCATTTGTTTGAGGTGCAGAAAGCCAGCTGCAGAAAGCCACAGCGTGTCCTGCAGTGTTAGCGGGATGGGGACGGTAGCCTCGAGGAGCGGTCAGCCAGCAGGTCTGCAGTCCCTTCAAGGGAGACTGAACTTTCCATGTCCTGTGGTGAACTGGGGTGCAAATCTTGTCAGAAAAAAAAACCAAACGTTCGCTCTGGTCTGTGAGTAACCGAAATGCAGAGAATCTGCATCCTGCTGGTGATGTGCATTTGGGAGGGAGGGCGCAGAAGAGGAGCGATGGCAGAACACTAATTCAGCTTTCTTTTTAAAGGTTCTTTTTTTTTTTTAGAGAAATATTTACTATAGGGTGGGTGTGCTCACTGGTGACACAGAGAGAGAGACAGAGAAATCAACACCTTGTGGGGATGGCCATGTTGCAATCCCTTCTCCTCCATTCTCCTCTTGGGATTTTGGGCACACACACATGTGCCCAGCATGAGTTTCAAGCTGCCAGGTCCAGGACTCAAACTGAAGTCCTCCCATGTGGGATTCCAGCGCTGTACCCACTATGCCAACTACTGGCCCTCTAGCTTTTTTAAGATTGCCCACTGAGAGCCAGTGCAGTGGGACAGCGTGACCTACGCCCTGATGCCGGATCCGTGTGGGAGGTCAGGGTTTGTTCCTGGGTTGATCCGAACATGCTGTGTGTGATCCCGGCTGGCTGGGGACGGTCACGGTGCGAGACCCTGTTGAGGGTGCCTGTTGCTCTCATGGAAGAAAAATATGAATTAAAAATAAAAAAGAATTCCCACCTGGGAAGACTCCAGCAGCGATCGAGCTGAAGGCCACCAGGAACTACCTGGCTAGAGGGACTTCGAGGAGAACTGTGGGAGCCACGGAAGGAGGGGAGGGGAGCAGAGGCAGCAGAGAGGGAAGGGGTGAGGGATGAGAAACATCTGGTTTACAAAATCTAGTCCATGTCCACAAGCTTTAATTAAAAGAACGACGAGCACTCACCTGTAAAAATCCACACCTAAAGACTGTCAGGTACAGAGCGATCCCAAGAAATGTCGAGCGTGCAAACGAGCTTTCATTAAGAGACCTGTCAGCTCTGTTTCATGTCCCCAGGCTGCTCTGCATTCTGTTGGCAACTGAGCTGGAAAAATAAGGGGAGGACAAGTGGGCCCACGTGGAGAGGCAAAGGTGGGACTGGTCCTACAGATAGGGTCACAAAGCAGCCAGGGAGGAGATGGCATCTTTCTAAACAACCGCCATTCTTCTCCCGAGTGCAGACTCAGCAATATCACAGTACTTTGGCTTTCTAAGGAGCCAAGAAGATGGGGTTCAGGAACAATGCAATTGGTGTTCTATGCAAATTTAAACCTATTTTCCCCAAACCCGACTCTGTTTTGGCATTAAGTCTTTCTGGGTCCGTTTGCCCAGGGACGAGGTGCCTCTCCAGTTCAGTGGATCGTGTTGAACTTAAACCCCTCATGGAAATACCATCTCCCTTGCTAGGGGTTGGTTTAGACAGAGGCATGTGACATATTCATGTAGGTATGTGACAATTCTGACCAATGAAATGTGACAGAAACTGGGTTCTCCAAACTTAAAACACACACACACATGGGGCTGGCAGGTGGTGTGTCAGTTAAGGCACTGGATTCCCACATACCCGACCATGATTTTGAGTCTTGGACCTGGTAGCTTGCTTTCTCACTTTCCCTTTCTCTCTCTGGTCAAATTTTAAAAGTAATAATAACAGGGACCAATAGTCGGCGTAATGGCTATGCCACTGGATTCCCATGTAGTCGACTGCGGTTTGAATCCCAGACTCGGTGGCTTAAACTCGTGCCGGCGCGTGTGCATGCATGCCCAAGAACCCAAGAGGAGAATGGAGGAGAAGGGATTGTGGTGTGGCCAACCTCCCCCCCCCCCGGGGGGGGGCGATCTCTCGCTTTCTGTCTCTCTGGCGAGTGCACGCACCCTATAGCAAAAACCTCTTCTAATAATAATAATAATTACAAAGTTAAATAAATAAATAATGCTTTAGAAACTCACAGATCAGGGAGAAATGCTTCTGTGTTTGGACACAGATATGTAAGGACAGGTGATGCCCGGAGCTGCTGCAGCCATCTTATTATCATGAGGATGCAGATGACACTGGCCAGGCAGAGCAGGAAGATGGAAACCTAGCTCCTTGATGACTTTCTTGAACAAACCAGCCCTGGAATTCCCTGTTTCTCATGTCCTTGTTACACAATCGAATTCATCACTTAACCCTGTGGTTAAGTGTCTGTAAACGGGACTGGGAGCTCCAAGTGTGTGACTGCTGTGGATTATCTTATCTAGTGGGACAGGAGAGAAAGCTGCATGCTTTCACAGTGACTCTTCGAAGGACGAACAACTGTAAATAATTGCTCAAACCCTTTAATGTCCGTGGAACAGAAGAACCAAGTAGGGTGGGGACAGCAGAGGTGGGGCAGGGTCTTACATGTGTTTGGGTTGTCATGGTTACACTGATGGGCTCCCAGTCCATCTAAGAACGCGGCCCCTCCCGGGCTGCCTGCGGACACAGGGTGGGTTATGGCTCTGGGTGACCCAGCCACCTGCCCTGAACCCCGGGCTCTCGGGGACGCATGGTCATTTTCCTGACCCTACGGGAACACTCCGGTTGGTTATACGACCTGCTTTCCTGGTGACAGATGGCCCTGAAGGTGTGCCCTGGCTGCCTGCGTCGAACCAGGGCTGCTGCAGACGAGCCCTCTTTTATTACCGCGGTATTTAGCTCCCTTGGTGGCGAGCGCGGTTGTGCTGCGCATGTGCAGACGGCTCAGGCCGCATGCAGCGGCAAGGTGGTTTCCGTGACTGTCGGCCTGTGCAGGCTCTGGAGCTGCAGAAGCTACCTCCCCCAGGGGCAGCTGGGAGGTGGGCCAGGGGCGTGGGGGTGGGCTGACCCGAGGGAGGGATGGAGCTCTGGGCTGCGGGCTGGAGCAGCGCGCGGGCTCCAGCACGTCCGTTCCTATAGACGGGGACCCTGCTGGCGGCAAGAACAGAGCTGGAGGACCTCCCTGGGCCTCCGACCCAGCACGGCCTCCTGGTCTGCACTTTGCCTTCCTTCTTCATGAGCTGCACAAAATCAGACCGGCCTCCCAGCCCGCCAGCAGTGAGCCAGGAAGGCAGCCTGGTGGTGGTGTGGTGGTAAGGGGGTGTCTTTGCGTCGTGGTTCCCCACATGCAGGCTCACGTGACCCTAGAATCAGGCGTCTGCAGGTGCACATCGGCTTTTTAGGATGCATTCTCAACCTCCCCCACCTCGGGAGCCTCTTTTTCCTGCAGGGGTGCCCCTCAAAGGGGCGGTTCTGGTTCTCAAAAGCGTTGAGGTTTGGGACCTGGGTTTTGCACTTCTGTGGGGAAGTAAACTGCGTTCAGTTTAAGGAAAGGTTGTTGGTTTGAGCACTGTCCACTCTGTGACAGGCCAGATGCCACCAAGGGAAGCTTCTCTTATCCCAGGAAGGATGGGCACCCCCTCCTTTCGCACCTTTGGACCCTGGCCCTGGCTCCCACCATCTGTAATGAGGGGCTTCTGCTTCCCTGCTTACCCCCCCAGCCGGGAGCTCTGCAGCTTGTCTTTGCAGCCCCAGTGCCGGTGGCACAGACGAGGCAGCCTTAAGCAGAGGGAAGGGCCTAGGTCTCAGGTGGCTCAGGAAGGAGACTGGTCAAGGCCACCAGATCCCAGATCCCTCCCACACCGGACGTGGCCCTCAGACCCTGTAAGCAGTGCAGGCTGAATGGGATGAACCGGCATTTCCATGCGCACTCGCTCATTTCATTTCAGAAACAAAACAACAACAAAAAGATCAGAACACCGTAGGGGGCTCCCTTCCCCGACTTCCCTCCTCCCATCACCAGATCAGTTGATGGTCCAGATTTGCAGGCTGAGAAGTCAGCTCTCGCAGTCAGCAAATGGGCCTCACCAGGGCGAGACTTTCAAAGCCGAAGCCCAGCATTCTCAGCCTGCCGAAGCCCCTGTGCACCTGCCAGTCAGCACAGCGACACGCATGCCAAGTGCCGGCAGCATGTCAGGGACACCCAGGCCGGAGGTCCTGCTGGCCCTGCCGGGTGGAAGCATACAGGGGGCCCTCGGACCACACGCTCAGTTACACCTTTCTCTCCACCATCGCCACGATGGGGCCCTGGTGAAGACCCCCGGTCGCTGGCTCTCCCCATAATTGCCGTTGACACGTTAAACGCTACGACAAACATCTCTAATGAAACAAATGCGACAGAAAGACGAATGCGGAGACCAGCCATATGGTGCATCCTCGCCCCGCGCCTGGCCACCTTCCATTCACAGCAGCGCGTCTTGGGCAGGAAGAGACGACACTGAGAAGCTTGAGGGCCCGCGTTTAATAAATCAAACTGTCCTGGCAGCAGCGATGCCCACCGTCCGCAGCAGGCAGGGCGCTTTCTCACTTGCAGACGCGGAGGTGTTTCAGGAGAAAGCGACTTGGGCACACGGATCTGTGGCTTCGTTCTCTGCCATTCCTGGTGCTTCCGACGTGCCGTCCTGTCGGATCCCTCCTCCTCCCATGTTGTCGCGGTGCTTGGGGCTGCCCTCCTCTGGGATCCCTTTGCCATCTTCCAGCGGGGGAGCTTGGGCCGCTGGCTGGGACTCACAGGAGCCCAGGCGTGATCGGGGCAGCTCCCCCGCGGAGGCCTGGCCTGGCAGGGATGGCCCCGTCTCGCTCCTCTGTCCCTCCAAGGCTCCCCCCCTTCTGACTCCTTGCAGGTCTGCCTCCGCCTGTTTCTTTGTCAGTTTAATTATTTCCCGTTCAAGCCTGTTTACTTCTTCTCCCTCAGAAGGTAACTGGGGCAGGGAAGGATGAAAGTGCTTGCGCTGGCTCCCGGGGCTCTGGTTTGCTGGGGAGCTGACAGCGGGCCTCCCAGCATCCTCAGGTGCTGTCAGCGCCAGGGCGGCCGCGCGGCTTTCATCTCCTTCGTGCTTCTGAACCTCCCCTGAAAACAGAACGGGGACAGCATCAAACCCCTGGCAGCAAGTCAGCCCTCCCGCCCCCTCTACTGCCAGCCTCCCGCCCAGCCTGCCAGGACAGGGCCTCCAGAAAGAAGACTGTTGTCAGCCCCCTGTGCAGGGCGCTGGAGCCGAGGGGAGCACAGGACCTCATTTAAACAGTGAGCAAGGGTCCCAGCGACTGCCGTGTCATGGACAGAGCCCTGGGCCAGGTTTACACGCCATCCTTTCCCGGAGCCTGGGTAGCTCCTGGTCTCCGTGCCCACTAAATATTGAAATCAAGGACAAAAGGTTTTGCCACTTCTGCAGCTCAGGGAAGCCCTGGGGGTCTTTAGTAATAAAAGGGGTTCTGGCTGCCTTCAAGGTGGGAAACAGGACAGTTGGGAAGGCCTTGTGTCACCTCTCTGCCCCCATTCTCCATCAGCACCTGCACCTTTAATGCACTTCAAACAAAACACCACATGCAAAAGCAGCTGCAGGCTCCCTCCCTTACTAAACTGTCCCCAAATCCCTTCTCTATAGAATAGAAATTCTAGAGCTGCCACAGGTGGGGGACGAGAGAGGAGGAAGAAGCCCTGAGAGCTGGCATTGGGTCCCCTGTCCCTATTGGCTTTGTGGTCAGATGGCTTATCTGGCCTCTGTCCTTAGACACCACATGGGGGACAGGACTGTGATGTCCCTTCCACATTTAACAAGCTAAGGTAGGTCTAATGCCCAGGGACAGCCTGGCGGAGGCAAGCTTTTCCTACCAGCTTGTGGCCTTTGGCACCAGCCCCTGAGATTCCCTAGAAATCAATCTCTTCTTAGCTCATAGGCCAAACAGTGATGGAATGGATGGCAGAGCCATAGCTGGGTCCGATTTAACCTGGGTGTAGGACGCGTGCCAGGGCGAGGGGCCTGGGGATGCTTCCTGGTACCCCAAATGGGATGCCAGAGGAACCCCAGTATACTCGGGTTTGCCATCCCATAAATGCAGGTATGTTCAGGCTGAAAGCTGGAACTGGGGTAGCTGAAGGACTGCGGGAGGGCTTACAAAAAGTTGCGTGTGTTCAGACCACGCCATTTTCCTTCTTCAAAGCGTTTGCTGGAGCCGGTTGCTTTCGGGATGAATCTCAAATTCCTTCCACTTAGGTTTTTTCTAAAGTCCTGTGGATTGCTCCTGTGTGACTCTGTAGCCTCATTTTCTGAGGTTCCCTTGCATATATTTATATAGGCACACGGAGAGAAGTGCATACATAGAAATACACAACTCAATGAATTTCACGAAGTGGACACGCCCACATAACCAGCAACCAGGACAAGACACAAGGTGTCCTCACCGCCTGGTCTAATCTCCTGAGTCGCTTCTCTCCTGCCCAGGGAATCGCTGTCCTTTCTAGAATGCCAGAAGAGTTGTGTCTGGGCTTTGAACGTCAGACAGGGGAACTTACTCTGCATACGTGTTTGTACCTGGCTCATTTTGCTCCACATGATGGCCATGATATTTATCTGTGTGGTTGTGTGTAGAGTTTGTTCTTGTGAACACACCCCAACGTTCAACACCTTGTCTTCGCTTCTGCATGGGTCAAATTTCCCTTTACCTCCCTCTTGTAAGGGTACCTGGAACCACACTTAGGACCCACCAAGATCATCCAGGATGATTTCTTGATCTCAAGATTCATACATCAGTCACATCTACCAGGTCCTTTTGCTATATAAGGTACCGTTTATAGGTTTCAGGGAACTGGCCTTGAAGTCTCTGGGGGCCATCGTTCAGTCTCCTGCCGACATTGCTCAATGCCATCCTCATTTCCTGTGTTGACCTGGTATCTCCTTCTAGCCCCTGTGAGTGGGTCTGCCCAATGATCTGCTCTCTCCTCTTCTCTTCTCTTCCCCCTCACTTATTGGCCATCTCATGATCTCGACTCCTGCCTATGAACACAGCTCCCAAATCTCCACCAACAGCTCTGTCCCTTCCGTAGGAGACACAAATCCACATTACAGACTCACATCCTCTTCCTGGAAGATCTGCTGCCATTCTCTAGAACAGGGTCCCTAATTCCCGGGCCACAGACCAGTGTGTGACCTGTTAGGAAGTGGACTACACAGCAGGAGGTGAGTGGTGGGCAAGCGAGCGAAGCTTCATCTGTATTTACAGCCACTCCCCATTGCTTACATCACTGTCTAAGCACTGCCTTTGGTCAGATCAGTCTTGGCCGTAGATTCTCATTGGAGCACAAACCCTATTGAACTGCGCATGTGAGAGATCTAGGTTCCAAGCTCTCATACGCCAACTTCCACTCAACCCTCAACCCCATCTGTGAAAAATGGTCTTCAACACAACCAGTCCCTGGTGCCCAAAAGGTTGGGGACCGCTGCTCTAGAAGATAGTTCCCCCCTTAGACCTCCTCTTGTTTCACCATATCATTGTTGCTTCCTGGGCTCATGATTTAGGATCTGGAAGGCATATTAGTCTACTTCCTTTTCCTACCCATCAGTCGTCAGGTGATGCCCATGTCCCTCGGTGCTGCTGATCAAATGCTTGTGCTTCCCCCCCTTCATATGCTGAAACCCTGCTCCCCGATGTGATGGTATCTGAAGGTAGAACCTTTGGGAAGTAGTAGGGCTTACGTGAGTCATGACAGTGGGTCTTTCATGATGGGATTAGTGCCTTTATAAGAAAAGGGCAAGACCAGAGCCCTCTCTCTCTCAGTCATGTAAGGATACAGCGAGAAGGCAGTATCTGAAAGCCATAAACAGGGACCCTGTATTAATAGTACGTCGTATTTTTTTACTGTTAAGTCCTTCTGCATTAATGAGTATAGGAAAATGGCAGCACATAAATTCCGAGTCAGGAATGACAGTCATGCCAGATAACCACGTGGGTGGCTGAGACAGTGACACTTTGCTTTACGATGTTTCAATGTACACGAATTTTGTTTCATGCACATTATTAAAAATATTGTATAAAATTACCTTCAGACTATGTTATAAGTGTCTGTAAAACATAAACGACTTCGTTTTTAGACTTGGGTCCCATCCCCAAGAGATCTCATTAGGTGTATGTGAATATTCCAAAATCCGGGGGGCGGGGGGGCAAGAAGCCTGAAATAAAACTATTTCTGGTCGTAAGCATTTTGTGTACTCAATTCATCTAATGAAAAAGTTTAAATGAAAATGCGGCTTTGAATTTCTGCAACAATGCTATTACATTTGTCATTTGTGATCCATTCTAATTTTAACACGACATCTACCTTTTTAATATGAACAATATGTCATTTTTGGCATTTATTTATTTAAATAATTAGATAAATTTTTGAGCATCTATTTACCTAATCACTGGTTTTAAGAAACTCAAATGTGAAGGAACCATTGGTGAAGATTCTGGGAAATTCTAAGAGAAATGTAACAGCAGAATCAGATGGATTATCACAACAGTCCCCAACTTTTTGGCACCAGAGACCAGACTTTGTGGAAGATCATTTTTTTCATAGACTGGTCAAGAGGGAGACAGCAGATTCTGACTTAAAGCCTGCCACCAGATGCAGCTGCACAATTGAAGTACAGCAAACTCACTTGCCGCTATAAAGCCTGCCACCAGATGCGGCTTAATTGTCACTTGCCACTCATTGACAGGTTATTTTTAAAATTTCTTTGAAGATTACTTGATTTTTAAAAATTATTATTATTTTAATTTGACGAGAGAGAGAGAGGGAGAGAGAAAGCAACCCTCCAACTGCAGTCGGCCATGTGGGAGTCCCGCACTTTAGCCACCATGCAATCTGCCAGCCCCATACTGATAAGGTTTTGATATGAGTCTGTAGGCAATTGATTTATTATGATCTCTGTGCAGTAAAGCCTCTCTGCTGATGTTAATCAGTATTTGTGGCTGCTCCCCAGTGCCACTATGTATAGTGTTTATGATTCCCTACAAAGTCTCTCCCTTAATAGGTACTGCATCTGAAAGAGAGACCATTACTTGTGCCTACAACGAAATATACAAATGTATACGTGTATACATTGCTTTCTAAAGAAATAAAGCGAGCCTTGCTTTCTAAAGAACAGCACTCAGATCTGTTCAGCCAGGATAAAGTATGTTAGTTTCTAACGGGTAATTTTTGGCTTTGTGTACCCTCCTACTCTAATCCAACCTGTTCAAAGAGGTACCTTCCCTACAACCTTGCCACTCAAAGAGGGGTCCACAGGCTGGCGGCAGCAATAGAGCTTGTCAGACGTACAGAACCTCAGGCCCTACCCTAGACCCGCAGGCTTAGAATCTGCCCTGTAATAAGAGTTCAGGTGATGTGGGTACCCGGTGTAGTTGGAGAGGCATTGAAGACTTAAACACGAATGTCACCATGCCTTCGCCCAGCTGTGAAGCATTCAAAGGCTTCCCTTGCCCCCAGAACAAACTCCAGACTCGTAAGCCAGCATTCAGGGCCTTCTCCAACCCAATAGCAATCTCGCTTTGGCGCCTGACATCCCGACTCCTCTCCATGGTCCCCACATGGAGGCTGACTCCTCCACCACTGTCATTCCTTTAGATCACCCAATGAGGAACGTGGAGGGTCAGCTCTCCCTCTTCCATGACGCCTAGTGGATTAAATCTGTCCACACGTACTATTCCCAGTGTCTGAATTCCCACAGGTTGTGTCCGGACGTTTAGGGAACTTACTTTCTATCTTCCTTCCCTTCAAATTCTTTCTTACATATAGGTAGCTTATTACCACCTTACATATAAAATTTTGCCTGATAAATTTTGAAACTTTGCCAATGTTCCACAGCACAGGCTCAATAACTAGCTTATTAAATGTTTGAATATATGAACATAGGTGTGAATGCATGAATAAATGGATACATTAGTATACATCTTTAAATACCATGCACTAATATATGAAAGTAGTCTCTGAATTTATGATATTCAGTTCAGGCTGTATTCAGATTGGTGCAACTCTGAAAGTCCTGAACATGGTACTTTCTGGAAAAAGGGGAGCGATTTCTAACTCACATAAACATTTAGCTACAGACATGTAAGGTAGCTCAGAGGAGCAATCACATCATTTTCCCACTAATAAATGACAATTTTTACCCTGGTTGTATAGGGGGCATGGGAAGTACTCAAAACGAGCAAGTTTCCAGCCGAGCGCCGAAGCTTTATTCAAAAGGAGTAAATTATGGTACTTTCTGCAGCAAGATTTTTCACCACCGTGAGATGAATAAACTCCTTCTAGAAATTACTCTTATGAAATGACTTCTTCCAGGACACTCAACAGTAAATTCTAGTGCCCCTGAAAAATTAATTAACCTTCTTCCTAACAGCCTAACCCCTAGACCATTCGCCGTGTGTTTTTACTGTGGGTCAGGTTAATCTTCTCTACCTTCATTTACACCTACGCGAGGGTGGTCTAAATTACACTGGGGCCCTTTGGCCGCTCATAGTTTTGCCTTGTGCTGTATCTTTAGATGACATTCCTCTCATGGCCAAATGTGTGAGTCTTTTTCATTTTTTTTTTTTTAAAGGCAAACCTCTGCAATTACCAGGGAGAACTTTCTCCCATTTTGGGGGGTGAGTGGGTGGAGGAGACAACATGGCGGTCATTCCAGGTTAAAACACAGCCACGGTAAGGACAGGGCGGTGCACTAGTTGTAATCCTAGTGCTTGCCCCTAGCAGGCATTCGCGTTCTCGGAGAGGGGCTCGCTTCTCAGAGCCTTGGCACCACAGAGACCCTGAGGCCAGGCTCCAGGACTCGGTCGCAAATCCGTGGGAGGATTTGCACCTACTCTCTCCTTTTGTTTATCTGGACAAGACCCCAAAAGCACACATCCAATCCCTGTCAGGAAGCAGAGAAAAGTTCCTGGAAGTGCCACAACTCCAGAGCTGTCACTAGAACTTGTTCCTGGCGCTGGGAGCCAACTCTTCCTCTAAGGCAGCCCTAAGGTTCTGGAAGGCTGGTCTGTGAATGGTGGGAGTTTAATCTTTCCTTTATACACAGACGCCGTGCATTGCTGTTTCCATAAAGGCTTCCAGAACTAGCCAAGAGTCAGAAAATATTTTTACAAATAACAGCAATTATTCCGGGCTGCTTTCACCATCAGAATTATTATCATTAATACTTATTCTTAATAACAATTCACATATCAATACTGGTGAGGCAATCAATTACTACTAACGCATTAGGATGCAAACAGTGTGGAAAGAAAAAGCATGCTTGCTCAAAACACGAAGTAGTAGGATCTCTTTGTGGAAAAGATGGCGAAGCCAATGAAAATGTGTTTTCCCCGCGCTGGCCCAAAGGGGACATTCGTCTTCCTTTGTGAACTGGCCTTTGATGGGCTTTGTCCGCCTATGTGTGTACTGCTTTCAGTTGGAATTAATCAGAGATGCCACGGGGATGAGGCCATCCCAGACGCTGACAGCCCCGACATAATGCTTCCTTGTTCCCACCCGGCGCTGGCCAAGGACAGGGCTGGAACAATGAGAGCTAATGATGGAACTCTGGAAGCGATCATTCGGAGTCAGTCCTTTACTGACGCCGTCGGGTGCAAATCGAGCCAGGCGCATGCTCCCCTAAAGTGCAGCAGGCCCAGGCCCACCCCTAGGCTCGGCACGCCCAGCGCAGACAGAGGGCTTTGCCCCTCCACGTTGACACGGGAAGCAGGCATGGGCGACCACCAGCCGGGACATATCCCAAGCTGCACGGTGGGCCTTGGCGTGTCACAAGATAGTCTCGTGAACAGCCACATGCTGCCCACTGGAAAGACCAAGCCTTGCTTTCTGGTCAGTGTGGAACCTACCGGGGTCAGGGACTCTGGCCAGGAATTTCCCTTCACGTGTACTCAGGGGACTTTTCTGCCGAAATCCCAGACATGCCCTGGCTTCACGCTGGTTCATCTTCACGCTGAGATATTGAACCAACTTCATGATACATGTACCAAGGGATGAGTGAGCCTGGCAAGCCTAGCTCAGGTTAGCAGAACCACCCTTCTGGCCCAAAGACTCAAGATAAATGACACATCGTTGTCACTTCAAGTTCTGGGCTTTGCAGTGGTTTTGTTACCCGGTACTAGCTGACTGATGCAGCTGGTAGTTCATTCCGATAAAAGCAGAGATTTTAGGTCGGTAATTCTGAGGCAGGCTAAGCTGCAGAGGTGAGGTTTTAAGTGGACGACAATCGAGAACCATCGAGAACCACTCAGGATTTCTGAGCATGGTACAAACATGATGGGAAACAGTACACCAGGTACTTTAGCCCCCAGGGGCAGGATGAGGGTGGGAATGAAGCAAGGAAGGTCTAGAGCAGGGAAATTAAGAGGGAGGCCCTGCCAATGAGGTCATGGGGGCCTGGCCCATTCCACTGGCTCTGACACTCGGCACGCATCAGGCAATGAGCCAGATTTCCCTGAGGTTGGCACCATCGTGTCACCATTGACAGGCAAGGAAACAGGCTGAAGTCACCAGCCTAAGTTCTCCTAGTCACTATGACATAGGGCTGAACTAGCAATATAATACATATCATAGAAATATAGTTTATATATAGAATACATATATGACCATATCACTTATTCCTATGATGTATTTATGTATAGGTATAAATATAGAAGTTTTAAACAGTTATTTTATTTAACTTTATTCATTTATTTTAATTTTATCTATGAGGAACAGAGTGAGAGAGAAAATGAGAAAGCAAGCCACCAGGTCCGGGTACTCGAACCACAGTTGACCAGGTGGGAGTCCAGCACCCTTAATCACTATGCCTCCTGCCAATCAATCCCCCACAAATATGTCATTTTTAAAAATTTAAAACTGTGTGCACTCGCCAGAAAGACACAGAGAGAGGGAGATGAAGGAAGCGACTCCGATGGGGTGTGGTCACACCGTCACCCCTTCTCCTCTATTTCCCCATCCTGTTGGGATTTGGGGCACACATGTGCACACGCAGCATGTATTTTAAGCTGCCAGGACTGGGACCTGAACCGTATGGTTGGCCATGAGGGATCCAGCTCCCGTAAGCATTGGGCCATGGGGCTTGGCCCAGCTGCTCGGCTCCTGGCCCTCCCTCGTAACACTACGGCACTCAGAGCAGGACCTTCATTCTTTTGTCAGGAACTCCCAACAGGATGGGCCCAAGAGAAGCTGCAGGAAAAGAGGGGACTGAAGTCCACGGAGCCCCTCCCTGTGACAGGCACGAGTCAGGCAGAGACGGAGGGAGGAGGGGGAGCTCACCGTCCGCGGGGTTCTCCTTGTTCTCGCTGGACTGCTCCATGAACTTCAGTAGCGGGGATCTCGACCGCTGTATGGCGGGAAGAGTGGGGTCTCCGAACAGGATGGTGTCCTTGCCCCCTGCCGGGGAAAAGGGGACATGGGTCAGTTACATCAGCAGAGGAGGTGGCCACAGTGCCTTCTACCCAGTAACTGGCTGTTTGGGTTAACAAGGCTCATGGGAGCATTTAGGTAATACTGTGGACGGAGCGGTGGGGCCAGGGCCAGGGCTTCCTGTCTGTGCCTCAGCTTTTTTTTT